TACCATCAGGTGGACTGTGTGCTCGTTTGTCACCCTTATTATATATAAAAAAAACTTTCTGAGATTTCAGTAAAATAATGTTAAGTATTGTAAGCACTCGTACAATTATGTCTCATGTTAATAAAGCTATTGGGCTATTTTGATTTGTAATAAAGTGATTTTACTTTATAGGTTAAATAATTTATTTACCTTTTTATATAAAGAACCGTTTTTCTGTCACTCCTATTGAATTTGACAGTGCTTGCTGAAATTTAGCATTTTTAGATGGATCAGAATCGCCCGCTGATCCGGCTGTTAGATATTGTAAAAAAAATATAAAATAAATAAATAATTTTTACTTTCATGCCGAAGACTACCTTGTTTTATTTTATTACGGTCAAATAATATTTATTAGGTTATAAAGCAAGTATTTTTGTAAATGTTTTGTATGTAAATGTAAATGTTTTCATTATTTTGTTATTCTATTGTTTACAGTTATTATCACGTCTTAGCTTTACACCAAGAATTACATTAGAAATTCTTGATGGGATGCGATGTAACGCGCATACATTATTTTCATCAAGAACTATAATATATATATATATATATATTTGTTTTTTTTTACCAGTAGTTTAACAAAATCTTAAAAAAGTTCAATGAATTAAAAAAATGCCATTAATTATATAATTTCAAGTCAGTGTTTTACATTTAAAGATCAGTTATAAAGAGCCAATGTTATTATTTTCATTTTGATTAATTTAATTCGAGACTAAAATAAATGTGAAAGGGCTTTTATCTGCAATAATAATTTTCATCAAAAATAACATAGACTTATAAAAGTCATATACACGGTCAATCATACTGAAGATTATCAATTGTACTACAAAATATTTAAAAGACTATTTCCAGTATAATGACCCGAATATCATCATTAATGTTTGACCTGGCACACTTAAAAGTTTTATCACATGGCTAATTGATTGACTTTTAATTATGATAAGGTCATGCTTTTCTATAAAAAGTTGCAAGAAATTTTAATTCCCGGCCCTATTGGTTTGTTTTACTTTTTACTTAATTAGTGAAAAACAAAATGGTCTGATCTAAAAGTTTACTTTCTTGTGTAAAAAGTGCTATTTAGAATTTTATGCAAATGATAATTAAAGTTTCTATGTAAATAAGTGTAATATAGCGGAAATTATATTCAATAGTAGCGGCCATCCGTATTTGCAAAGCCAGCATCATTTTCTGTACAGAAACCGGCAAAGTGTTGCTCAAGGCACTATAAACAAAGCAGCTGATAAAATGTTACACTCATAACTGTTAACAAAAACTGTTTTCACAAATGGTCTTATAGATAATAATAACTATTCCGCCGTGTTAGCAGGAGCTATTATTAGAAGGAGAAGAGGTAAAATTTTGTTTTAGAAATGCGTAATCAATATTGTTTTACCTGCAATTGAGCATAAAATAAAAAATAACTTCAGCCAAAGAGCATAACTGGCATTATACTCAGGCCCATCAATTGGTATGGAAAAAAATAATTTTACCAGGTTTCAAAAAATCAATCATAATTCAAAAAACATAAATATTAAAATCAAAAAATGTATATATGTATGTCTATACATACATATAATGATTTATGGCCGCTTAGTAACTGACGGTGACTCACTATAACATCCTACAGTCACGCCGAAACTAAGAGGAGAGAATCACTGTAGAAAAGGTAATAATTTATTGCGGAAATTTTGTGATTAAAATTAAAAATATAATAAAAATTAAAAAAAATATAAACTTATCCAAGTTAATCTAACATAGTCTAACTTATCCTTATGCGTACAAAAAAAAAAACAAATAATAAAATAGTGAGATGGCGTCAGTTTTTAAGAAGATATAACAAAAATAAACAAAAAAATAAATTTCAATAAAGTTCAGTATTTAATTGATTATATACCGCTGACACTTAATCACGCTTTTCGAAACCACGCCAGTTGTAAACAATACTTGTGTGAAAAGACAAAATATTCTTTTCAAATTTCCGCCGAGTTGTAATTAGAAGGCCAAATAGGTCATGTGTCAATTTTAATTAAATATATTTTATATGAAGTGATCTTGACTACGTTTCATCAATTAACCATTGGTAAAAATTAAAACAGGAATTTTACGATTGTGTTTACAAAAAACGTTATTAGTTGAACCTTGCAGCTTGTTCATTATTTTTATTATAAATACCTATAAATGTATATATTATTAATAAATAGTTCCCACAATATATTGGATTATTTTTTATTTTGCCCTATCTGCAATGTTCTACGCTCTATAGAAAATGTGGCGTATGACATGACTGACAATCTTTCGAACGTTTTATCTAGGTACAAAGATGTTTTACGTTTTCGTCGCCTCCACATGATATTTGTGTCAGCATAAGGTACCCTTCTATATCTGAAACGAATATAAATAATTCTACAAAGTAAAGTAATAGGCTATACAAGTCCCTCTACTGGGCACATGACTCTTTTTTTATTTCTGAGAGGGTTTTAGGGCAAGGAAATGCCCGCCGTGCTTCTCCAATGCGTGTTGACGAAAATTGCAATTACAAATTTCATTCGTGCTGTCGGGGATCAAACCCGGGAAAATTTACAGCGAACGCTTTGACGACATATTTTTAATACGACACAAATAAATACGGTTTAACATATATAATAAAAATTCTTACGTACTTGAAACTTGAACACTTGATAGCTCGTGATGCCTACCGGACAAAGCTACAGCACCACACCGTGCAATGTAATTGAAGATGCGTAATCGCGACATAATTCTCAGTGATGCGCAAGCATAACAGGCAGTATGTCACTTATATAATTGTCATCTCTGCAGTCTATTAATCTTTGCACTTTTATAAGTAATACAGAACGTAGTTGCTAGACGGTGTTGACATCGGCTAAAATCTCTGCGATCGCCGTTTCGTCAAGGTCATTCAGGCTAGTTAAAGCCTTAAGGAACTGTATTCTTTTTTCACTCAAAGGTAGTATAGCCATTCAAGGAGGAAACGCAGCCAGTGTTTTTGGCACTATACTGTGGAAGGACTGTATGATAATTTAAGTTTTTAGTTTTATTATCATTTGGCAAAAATCGTAATAATTTTAACTCAGGATATGTTTACATTTTTGGTATACATTTGAAGGTATTCTGAGCTTGTATTATTATACTTTGAATCAGTAGTGTGAGTTGGGTGCGCCAGCTTTAATGCCAGTAACTAATAGTCATAGATGCTAAAAATTTCGTCGACGCCGTTTAGGAAATCGTCATTGACGTGGTTTCGTATGGTGAGTGTAGACTACCGGAGACCCATCTTTACTGGAAACCGAATCTTAGTCCTCAGGGGTGACAACGCTTGTACATTTTAATTCTTAATCGATGATAGATGAATGCGTACATGGGCCACAACATGCACTTACCACCAGGTGCATTGTGTGCTCGTTTGTCACCCTTATTTTATAAATAATAACCCGTAAACTAGTTCAAGTTTGATGCTTAATTAATTAAACGTCGCGATGTCGTCCGCTAAATTTAACTTCCGTCTAGATCATTACGGCTTGATATATATATTTCTATACCTTTCCCGGGGTAAGGAGGGTTATAGTTATCTTACGCAATGTAAAATGTTTTTCTTAAACTAAACGTACATTTGTTCGCGCCGTACGCGTCTAGTTTTACTGATGGCCTCGCACATTTGCCCGTACGTATCGTCCGCGTCGTACGCAAATCTTTTGTATTACCAACAACTTTTGTAGTTTTTTCCAACCACTGGTGTGAAACGGTACAGTTTGACCGCTCGAAATCACTATGAAAAGCAATTTAGTAATAGCCTGCTTATTGACAGAGGAAGAAGAAAATAAAATTCGAAGAAAAAGAAGATTCTGGATTATTATGGATATTAATTTAAAAAGACAATTGTATTTAGAATATGAAGGGGATATACTTTATTGAAAGACTTATTAGATGATGATGAACGATTTTTTTAGATATTTTTGCATTCAACATATAAGACATTTCAAGAAATTCTACATATACTAAAACCATATCTTTCTACGGAAAACTCAAGATTTAGAAAGCCAATTGAACTAGAAAAAAAAAACTGTTTGAGGTAAGTATTTTATTGATAATTAAGTAATCAGGTATAATTGGGTTTTTCAATTAAATTTAACTGTTTTTTGATAGTTCAGTATTTAAATAATTTATCGCTAAGAATACATATTGATAATCGATGCAAAAAATCAAATTATGTATAATTAATTACGAATGAATTAAAAGTTATAAAAATACAAAAATTATCATGTAAGTCGAAACCACCAGTTATAGTGGAAAATCCACTAAGTTGGCAACATTAGACAACACTGAGTAATCAGCACGCGCCGCGTTATATGATGTCATCAGCATTCGTCCTTCGATATCGTATACCTACAGTATTTTATAAAATTCGGCGCGTACGGTGCGGCTGTAATGTGCGAGGTTTCATATTATGATTTCATACAACGAATTCTAAAATTCGTTGCGTACGGCGCGTGCAACGCGGACAAATGTGCGTTCAGTTTTAAAGAGAAGTTTTATGTCATAGTAGCACAAAATAAATAAGTCATAGCATAAAGAAACATAAAGCATACAACAAACCCTAGTCACTTATTTATTTTACACATCAACTTAAGGCGCTTATTAACCACTGGGCTGGTTAAAAACTGGGATATATAATACTAAATAATTTATTAATTTTTAAGTGAAGTGTTATTAGACTGAGAAGAACGTAATAAATTGTTTTTTTTTGTACATTATACAATTTTTTTAGCAATAATGATGTCTTATACTGAATATTCACACACTAAGTAACAATCTAATTCTGGACTAGATCTGGACTCGTACAAATAAAAGAAATAGATCAGTTTTCTCATTATTTTAATCCACAATAGTTTTACACCTAATTAATTATTATAAAAGATATATTTACAAGAGTATTGAAGTATACAATTTTACCGCTTCTTTTTCTTTGAAGCTTTTTCAGTTTTTACTGACTTAGACTTTGATGAAATATCAAAAACATCCCAATATCGACTGCTTGAATTCTTTTTGTCATTTTTAACTGTTCCTTTCCTGTCCTCATTTTCACTATCACTGTCTTTTTCTTTATTTTTACTCTGTTTTTTCTTCTTGTGATTTGTAGTATCTTTTTCACTTATTTTTTCTTTATCCAGTTTACTTTTGCTTTTATGTTTTTTTTCTTTTATAGATGTATCCTCACTGCTACTACTGTCACTACTGCTTTCACTACTACTACTGTCACTGCTGCTACTTTCACTGCTACTACTATCTTGCCTCTTCTTTTTGCTTTTAGTTTTCCTTTTAGTTTTACTATTATTTCCATTATTGGTATCATTTTTACTTTTCTTTTTTCTTAAGTTTTCACTCAACTCTTCGTCATTTCGCTTACTACTTACATTTCTTTTATCCTTTTTCGGATCCACTTTATTATCCTGTTCTTCGTCCTTTTGCTTTCTTTTAGGCTTAACATCTTCTTCTCTTCTGTACTCTTCACAGGTATTGTTTTCTTTTCCATCTCGCCTATTTTTATCCGATTTTACATTCACACGATTTTCTTCATCATTTCTTTGCCTTCTTCCTTCTTTATTCTCATCACGATTTCGTCTATACTCTTCATCACTATTACGCCTTCTATTGTGATTCTTATCTTCTCGATCATTCCTTCTGGTTTCAAAATCACCTTGCCTTCTTCTATCGTTATTTTCATCATCTCTGTACTGTTCACTAGTATTGTTTTCTTTTTCATTTCTCCTGTATTTCTCCGATCCAACGTTTACACGAATTTCTTCTTCATTTCTCTGTCTTCTTCGTTCTTTACTGTCCCCACGACGTCGTTTATACTCTTCATCGCTATTCCGCCTTCTCCTGTCATTTATTTCATCTCGATCATTCCTTCTGGTTTCATTGTCATCTTGCCTTCTTCTATCCTTCCTATCACCCCGATCTCCATTTCTTAATGCGCTATCAATGACCTGCCTTCGCCTATCACTAGTATATTCTCGTTCCCTTCTATTTTCCTCACGGTCTACTCTTCTCGTTTCAAAACTTTCATCCCGATTTCTCCTATATTCATCTTTTCCGTTCTCTTCTCGTCTATTCTCTTGTCTTTTATCACGATTGATTTGTGTATCTCTTTCTGACCTCTCGGGCCTAGAATTTATTCTTCTAGCACCTTCCCCATATGTATCATAAAAACCATCATGACCCCATCTTTCAGGTTGTGATTCTTTGCTTTTATCTTTCGTCTCATCATCAATACATTTAGATGTTTTTTGCTTTTTATTGTCTTTTGACTTCTTGTTTTTGTCGGCTTTATTCGTTTTCTTGCCGCTTTCATCTTCAGATGATGAATCTGAAATTTTTAAATAGATAATGTATAATAACCAACATAGCCTTACTAATAATTAAGCTGAACTTTCGATATATCCGTCACATTAAATATTCGATAATTTTTTTCCAAAATGCAATGTGACGATCATTAGTATTATTATTGCTTTAGTGATTTAGTGCATTATATATACGTTATATAATGTCAACGTCATATTGTGTTTTACTGTCATATTCTGTATAACGAGCAAAAGTCCTAGCACAGTATTATGACAGGACATGGCAATGAAATCGGAACAGGTGCCACTAATAAAGCTTGTGAGGAAAGTTGTGAGGCCGGATCTGCGTCGCATTAATACAACTGCGATATAAGCGACAATAGAGCTAAACAAGGGGAAGTCGCAAAACTGCAGACGTCAAAGCTTGAGGTACTCTCTGAGAATGAAGACTATTATGGTAGCTATATGCCTCACATAAGCTACAACCTGACCCTAAATGCGATGATTTTGGAGTCACGCTGACCCGCCACTAAGCCGACGAGCTACCGGACATCTACCTAGGAGAGATCGAGCTGGCCCTCGGCCAACTTAAAAATGGAAAAGCCCCTGGAGAAGATGGAGTTACAACTGAGCTCTAAAACTCTTTCTAAAGCTCTTTAAGCAAGAGCTCTGCTGAGTTTTTAACTACTACAAATGCTACTACAAATTTTAAAACTCTAAATGCGTGGAACAGAAGCATTACAATCTTATTTCATAAGAAAGGTGGACAAGACTATGCTGAAAAATTATCGACCCACCTCGCTCCTGAGCCATGTCTATAAGTTGTTTTCGAGGGTCATCACAAATCGACTCGCGCGAAGACTCTACGACTTTCAGCCTGCGGAACGCGCTGAGTTTCGGGAAGGATTTGGAACTATAGACCACATTTACACAATGCGGCAAATAATACAGAAGACAACAGAGTACAGAAGACCACAATATTTTGCATGTGTGGACTATGAGAAAGCTTTTAACTCCATCAAAACTTGGGATGTTCTGGATTCTTCGCAGCGGTGGCAAATTGACTGGCGGTGCATCGAAGATCTATGTACCGCCAGTCAATTCACCACCGCTGCATTTTGTCAGTCAAACAAAATCAATCCATTTGTATCGCGGAGTGAGACAGGGGATGTTATATCCCTTAAACTGTTTACAAATGCACTGGATGAGATGTTTTTAAGACGCCAAACTGGAAATGACGGGGCGTTAACGTAAACGGTGAGTACATTTCACACTCACGCATTGCTGACGATATCGTTGTTACGGCAGAATCGCTGCTGAATCGATTCCAGTTCCAATTACTGCTGATGGTGAGATTCTCGAAATTGCCCAGGAATGTACCTCGGTTGTTACATGTTGCAACTAGGTAAGAATAACTTCGAGAAGGAAGCCGATCGGAGGATTCAGTCAGACTGGGCAGCATTTAGAAAGTCTGTCACAGAAGTGGCGACCGGTGGAGTAAATTTAGAGTTATGGAGTGGAGATCGCGTCTAAGCTAACGCAGTGTGACGCCCCTGACCCGATGAAGCGACGAAATGTGCAAGGTGGCTGGTAGAAACTGGATGCGTATAGTAGGAGATCGCGCTATGAGGCACGCCTTGGGGGAGGCCTGTGTCCAGCAGTGGACTGCCGCAGGCTGATGATAATGAAATATCTATATTACAGCTTTTAGTGGAATATTATAATTAATGAAAATTGCTACCAATAACAAAATTATCGAAACAAACAGATCATTAGATTAAACTTGCTAAAAGGAGGATAGGTAAAGTTGTTTTATGTAAGTGCATCATAGCCTTACCACTGGAGCTTGATGAAGAATCATCTGAACTACTTGAACTTGAGCTGGAGCTGTCTGAACTTGAATTCAAGTTGATTTCCGTAATTGGCGCAGGAACATTCTGAAAAGAACAATCACACCTTCAATTTTACAGAAATAATATTAATGTTATCTTGTTTACATATTTTCTAGTACGGCACCACACTACTTTACGTAATTTTTTCACAGTGTTTTAGTATTGTCATATACAATTTCGTTTATATGGTGAACATTTATGAGTAACAGTGACTGATATGATACCTACTAAATTAAGGTGCACTGATTGATTGTGCACATTGGTTTTAATGCTAAATGAATTTGTTTGCTGCAGCAATGGGTTATGGAAGTGTTCTGAGGAATTGTTTGGATTAATCCCAGCCGCCAAATTTCACCTAACTCACGTTACCATCCACATCTGGATGCTAGGCGGTGCAGTACCGTGCGATTTACTATAGGTTTTCTTCCTCGCACGGCTTCTCTGTAGAATTGTTTACCACCGGCGATTTTTCCGGACCGATACGACTTAGGGACCTTCAAGAAACAAGCTTACGCCTTTTAAAAGGCCAGCACCGCACCTGCAATTTCCCTGGAGTTACAGTTGTTGATGGACGGCGGTCGACACTTACTATTAGGTGAGCCACATGCTCGTTTGCCCCCCCCCCTCCTACTTTAAAAAAATTAATAATAAAAGCTATATTATGGTTGTAGAACTAAAAGATAGAAATAAGTCGGCTCGACCGGGGAAGGACCACGCTCTCACAGAATACCAATGTAAAATAGCTGCTTAATAATGTTGTGTTTTGTATGGTGATTGCATTTTTTACGTGGTAGAGCCATGCTGCAGCTATATTAATAGTATAGTTGTAGCAGGAATGGGTCGGCTCGACCAGGGAAGGACCACGCTCTCACAGAATACCAGTGTAAAATAGCAGCTTAATGCTGCTGTGTTTCGTATTGTAAGTGTAGAGAACCGGAGACCCTTTTTACTGGAAAAGAGGCATTCTATCTTAGTCCTCACGGCTGATAACGCATCTGCATTTTAATTCGCAAACGAAGATAGATGTAGATGTCTATATTTTGTTTTCGACACAAGTTCCGGTGCCAACCTAGCAGTGGATTGAAAGAGCAGATAAAAATTATACTTGATTTTTAAGTTCTGTTCTGTTCTCTTCCAGTGATTAGTAAAACAATGACCTTTTATATGTTCACTGTACTTTTGGAACGAAGTTCCTTATCGGACGGTACGAATTTGGCGGATGGGGGCTAGGCGAGAAAAGTGTAAGATTTTTCCGTCACGACCCCTTCTGACGTAGTGTAGATACGGCCTTGGCGAAGGAAGCGAGATAGAATAATATCCATCTCCCTCGCACTTTTTCTTATCTTGTCAATATTATTTTATTTTAAATGACGCTAGTAATTCATTTATTTTTATTTGTTAATCAATAATATAATACGTTTGTCAATAATAATATACTACGAAAGGAACTTCGTTCCAACCCAGTGTTCTACGACACTCACATATGTTTTTATTTATATTTTAATGTTAAATCTTGGCAATTCTGTAAATATACATTTATTATACTGAAGTGTCATCGATTTAAAGAAAACTCAAGCAATCTAAATTTACCTTTGGCATTTGCTTTAAATGTTCTCGTAATTCATCAGTGAGACCTCCAAGACCTATAGAGGTGAAGAAATTTATAGAGAAGCGAGTGTTCTTTGGGTTATCACGGGGGAAAAGCCCACTGAATGCTTGTTGTAATGTTCTGAAAGAGAAAAAATTTAAATCATTTATTATAAAATAACAACAGTTATATACAATACAAAATAGTTTGGAATAGTTCATGCACCAATGGTAAAGCAGCATTTATTTATACCTTTCCTAATTTATCTTTTAATGGAAAATCCATCTCCTTTTAATTTTAAAATAACTTATTTCCTATGTATTTCAACAAGGTATGCTGTAAAATGCCAAGTTACCATATGGTCAGCAGTGAAGGAGAACTCGAAAACATTTTTTTTTATAGGATAGGGTGACAAACGAGCACACAGTCCACCTGATGATAAGTGGTTGCTGTGACCTATAGACATCCACATATATCCTCAATAAAGGATCAAAATGGAGATGTGTCGTCACCCGTGAGGACTAAGATGGAATGCCTCTTTTCCATTTTATTCTTGCAGCCTATGGACCAACTACACCAAAAAGGCCTATAGTGCCCTACGTACTCAATACAATAATGCATTTACGGCGCTGTTGCGGCTGCCGCGCTACTGTAGCGCGTCTGCGATGTTTGCACTGGCGGGTGTGGATAGCTTTGATGCAATAATCAGAAAAAAGACCGCATCCTTGCTAAACAGAGTGCACGGCAGCGGCCACAGTATGCTGATTGAGATTGCCGACAGTGGGGACTGTCCATTGATTAAACAAATGATCGCCAGAACTATGTCCTGCTTAATAATAAAGTATTGAGTATAAATTATATTACTGACATAGATGTAAGTTTTACTTTACTAACAAATTCTATGGATCTTCTATGATTCTTGTTGTCCGAAATAAATAATTATTTTTATTTTTTTTTCCAGTAAAATGGGTCTCCGGTTCTCTACACTCACCATACGAAACACAGCAGCGTTAAGCTGCTATTTTACGCTGGTTTTCTGTGAGAGCGTGGTCCTTCCCGGGTCGAGCCTACCCATTCGTGCTACAACTATACTACTAATATAGCTGCAGCATGGCTCTACCACGTTCGCTAACGCGGTAGATATTACCTTGTCTTAAAACCCTCTCAGAAATGTGAGGAGGTCTATGCCCAGCAGTGGGACATATATAGGCCACAAATTTACTTTACTATGCCGCAATACATTACCACACTATCTATCATGCTTTTAACAGAAATTAAAACCATGCCATGAATATATATACACTTTCCTGTTAACTTCAATTTAAATAGTTAACAGTAAAGTGTATATATATTCATGGCACTTTACTACAGCTACGTACAACTAAGGTGTAATATGTTATCTATCAAACCATTGTATAAGCATGAACTATTCCTAATCAGAACTCACGGATCCTTAAGTCGCTCATTGAGCTTTTTCAAGCCCATGTATTCAGCCAGCTCTTGAAACAAAATTTTAATATAAATACGACTTGAACTTGTTGTATCTTCTTCGTTTAATCTGACACATTCCATAACTTCCCAACTAATTGAGTCAGTAAATAAAAGATGAGCAAAAAACTTGCTGACATTTCTCAGACGGTTTGTATCCAATCTGTGTGCAGTAGAATATGAGTCTTTAAAGATCTCCTCAAATGGGCCAATGTATATTTTATTTATATTACAGAACCGTTGAGCAAGTAAGCCATAAAATTTTTCATAAGTCCTCTGCTCTGCACAGCAGTCTAGAAACATATGACAAAGTTCCACTTCTTGACCAGGTTTCAGTTGCATTTTTAGTAGTTTATGAGCGCATTCTTCAAAGTCCAAACTGGAGTTGATAGTTAAATAGATTGTGCGACGTAATGCAACAAGATTTGTCTCTGTATTATCTATGATGGTCATTTCTTTTTTCTCTTCCTCTTCTTCTTCTTCCTCTGACTCATCACTACCTGATTCTCCTGAACCGTCTTCTTCATCTGATTCTGCATCAGAACCAAGGATCTCTTTGCTTAGAGTTTTGTATTTTTGCTCATTTTCTTCATATTTCTCATCAAACTTGAACACATCTGAAATTTATTTAAATTAGTAGAAGTATATTACAATATTCATAGGTACAAATAAATTATAAGTCAGGGTTTGAAAATATCCATTCAATTTTTAATAAAGGCTTAAGTAAACTGATAACATGACTTATATTTACAATTATATTGCTCATAATATTTTTAGTCTTTAAAGCGAATTTATGTTATTTTATGTAAAGTTAACTATAACATTGTTAGAAAGAGCATTTTTCAGATTGTGTGGGTACCCTTATACTCTAAACTACTGAGTTGGTGAGTTTTTAATGAAAGCTGTCACATATCTACGAGGATGCACTTGCATATTCCTTTTGGCAATATTTCTTTCACTGCAGCATCCGGTCAGGATTGCCTTGACCGAAGAATAGCATGGCACACACAAGTCAACAATTGTCATTAAATTAAATTACATTATAATTGCAAGATGTGAGGTATTCCATCCTAGTCAGTTACAAATGCAAGGAATAATATACCCTATTTTTGGCTAGTGAGTAATAAAAGAATTTTAAACAACACTAATTTAATGGTTCAGACTAAAAGTTTAAATTTAGGTTTTATCACAAACTTTAAATTTAGGTTTTGTCACAATGCTTTTTAGAATAGAATAGAATAGAATATTTTTTATTCAATATACATTACATGTGTAATTCTTATTGAAAGTCATTTTTTACTTTACCACTGGTTCGAAAAAAACCCCTCTGTCCTGGGAACAACCAGCAAGAAAACCAGCGGGACTTTTTTTTTAAATAATTTTTACCATAAGGCCGACTGATATTTGTTTGTCATTTCAAATTTATAACACAAAGTCAATGGTTAAGACAGAAATAAAAAAAAACCTGACTGCATAAAAAAGATTATTAAAAGGTGAAAATTTTACAGCCTATATTGTTTTTTTTTTATATAAAACAAGGGTGATAAACAAGCACACAGTCCACCTGATGGTAAATGGTTGCTGTGGCCCATAGACATCTACATCTATCATCGTTTGCGAATTAAAAAGTTGCCAGCCGTGAGGACTAAGATAGAACGCCCCAGTTCCAGTAAATAGGGTCTTCGGTTGTCTACATTCACCATACGAAACGCAGCAGCATTAAGCTGCTATTTTACGCTGGTATTCTGTGAGAGCGTGGTCCTTCCCTGATTGAGACGACCCCTTCGTGCTACAACTATCCTATTAATACAACTGCAGCATGGCTCTACCAAGTAAATGTTTCCACAACTATGACAAATTTAATGACAGCCCATATGTTAAAATCAATCAAGCCCTTTAGGCTACAAAGCGTGCCAAAGAAATAAATATATATGCATACACCTAAAAAAACATTACCCTCCTCCTGAGGCAATCAAAAAATACAAATACATCTTACTCAGGATGTCCTGTGGATCAGTGGCATCATCTAACATTAAGAGATGAGTGAATTGCTCCTCCTCAGGTACCAGTTCTAATTCTTCTATAAGGGCTGGATGATCTTTGAAGCCATCTTTCCACACTTGGAACATTACTTCAATCATATACTGAACCCTTTTATCTAATTGTCCTTCATGTAAAATATTTCTTAACATCTCAAATATTGCATTAACACCTTTTGAAGAAACTTCCGTGAGTTTTTGCCCACATTCCTTGAGAAATGCAATGGCTACTTCCACGGAATCATCTGTTGGACTTTCGACAAGTAATGTTAACAGTTCTAATGCAAGGATTTCATGAGCGACCCGTTGATTGACAAGATGAGCAATAAATGAAGCTGATGATATACATATGGCTTTATCATTCCTTTTGAAGCCCCGTTTGAATTGAATCACCAAACGCTTTAACAATAATTCACCAATATTTGGAAATCGTGAATTAACAGCAGCTACCAAAGCAGCATACACATTAGTAAATGTGGGTGAGGCGGCTTGAGCCTGAATTACTGATCTACACAGCAAACCTCGCCCCCTCACAATATTTTCTTTTAAAAGTTCTTTTATTATAATACCAATGTTGCCTACATTTATTTTGTTGATGTGGCCGTGTATAGACTTTTTTAGCGCTTCCCAAGCTAATCTTTGGTATGCGACTGAAGATTTGTCTGTTATTTGTGCTTGCATCATCCGGAGCCGTGCTGGAGGAATGTAAGCACCACCAGTCCTGGTGTTCAACATGTCAGTATCTTTTGCTTTTCTCTCAGTTATTTCCTTTTTGTTTTGTAAAGGCATTTCATTAGGAGTATCATTACGACGTTTGTCCTGTTTAGCGGTAACATCTGGAGATCGAGATTTGGAATGCTTCCGTTTACGTCTAAAATCTCTTTCACGACCTCTTTGATTTTCCGATGGGGATCGCGATCGTGCTCTTTTAGACCTATTTTCTTTGCGATATTCATCAATATCATCGTGTTTCTCCTTTTTACGTTTGTTTTCTGTAGTTTCCATCTTTACGATAAATTCTTGATTCAAATTTTAAATATTATGATATGCAATAGTTAAAAACCTTACGTTTACGCAAGTGAAACAACAACACACTACAATATTATTCAGTGATAGTATTTTACAAATTCACAATGTGATCAAGATTCAAAACAGTAAATTTGCAGCCATTTTGATTAGTAGGGTTGACACTTGACAGTTGAGTTAACACTCTACTTGACATCTATTAATATTAAGTCTGTGGCTAACAATAGACAAAGACCAAAGAGTTGTATTTTATGTGATGGCGACAGGATCTTTGTTCTTTGCCATTAATTATGTTTAGCAGATAGTTGATGGAAGTTCAATACTACAGTGCCACCAACTTATCTGTTCAGGTGGACAAAATTGGAACTAATGCCGCCATTTTGTAAATGACATTTCGCTGTCAGTTATTATTTATTCTGAGCTATCAGGTGAATGTTTTTAAAAAGTGCAATTAAAATGCCTAAAGCTCTTAAAAGTGATGCGCGACAGATTATCCTAAAAGTTTTATCTTTTATGAAAGAAGAGAAACGTGTACAAGCCCCAACTATACCATTTGAAAAGCTGTATGAGCGCGTTGCTGCCGCGACTGGTTAGTATTGCCAGATATGGAAAATTAAAATCACCAAATAATGTACTTGTAAAACATAGTAAAAAAATTATCTCAATTTACTGTAATTCGTCTAAAGTACAATACGGCCGACGTATCTTGGCGAGTCCGACCTTCGCGCAGAAGGTTGCGCAATAGCTTTTTTAAGGAACAAAATGGTGGCATGAGGCGACGTACGGGGGGCGGTGGTCTAGGCTAGAGATTGACCATAAGTAAACACAATCGACCCTTTAGTCATAAAATATCGCAATCGATTAGTTTTATTTAGAAGTTATTGATTTTTGTTTATATAAGATATTAAACGAAATAGATTTACAAATATAGTGAATTTTGTTGATAATAAACAAGATTTCGACTTAAATAAAAAAAAAAAACTAAAAACATATTATTTTCTCAGCTGAAAGACATAATGTACTTAAATATCAATTATCTATTAACGTCTTCTTGAGTAACGACTATTTGAGAAAATTTAGAACCTCCTTATAAATTGCAAATAAATATATTTTTATGTCTTAATTTTAATCGATTTGAATAAAAATCGATTAAACAACACCCTCAGGCACGCGTGTTGGACATCCCTTTCTGGTTACTTCGTAAAGCTTCGTGCTTATTCGGCAATGCTCGGTACACGGTAATATTTCTCAGTCACACGTTAGCATTGGTGTCGTGTTCGTGTCGCTATCTCTGTCTTGAGCACAGTCGGTTACAAAAGTTTTCGTTGTTATTGTTGTTTGTTTTTATTAATAGTGTTAAGTTTGTTTTGTTTGTTTTATTTGTTTTATTTGTTTTATTTGCAAGTGTCAGTTAGCACTTATATTATTCGCCAAACATGCCACCAAAACATAACAGTGTGTTAAATCGCCAGGCGAGAAAAATTATTTACGATTTAACGCAATATATGAAAAAAGAAAAAGAAGAAGGCGTAAAAGATGTCGATAAAGTTTATTTAAGAGTTGCTAACGCAACTGGTGTGTCCCAACGCACAGTACAGCGGATCGCAACTGAAGGCAATATTTCGGGCTTACTTTCAGTATTCCGCACGCCTGGTAAAAAAAGGTCTAGATCAAAACCTATTACTGATATGGATAATTTTGACCAGGGAGTAGTAAAAAGATGCATACACAACTTCCACAAAACTGAAAAAGAAATGCCGACGATAAACAAATTACTAGCGAAACTCAAACGGGATATAAATTTTCAAGGTGGTAAAACGAGCTTAAAGACAATTATCAAAAACTTGGGTTTCAAGTGGCGAAAGACCGAAACCAATAGAATGGTTCTTATAGAGAAGACCGACATTCGCCTGAAAAGGATCTTGTACTTGAAGGCAATGAAAAAATACAGGGACGAAGGGCGACCAATTGTATTCACTGACGAGTCGTATGCCCACTCATCACATACAAAAGGTAAGGCGTGGTCAGATGGTTCCGCTCAAGGACTAAAGCGCCCGATATCAAAAGGTCAGCGGATAGTGATGGTACACGCTGGGTCAGAAGCAGGGTTTGTTCCGAACGCGCTACTAATGTTCAAATCTGGCAGCAAAACCGGAGACTATCATGATGACATGAATTTCAAAAATTATGAGAAATGGTTACGGACCCAACTGATTCCAAATTTGAGCCCTAACTCGGTGGTGGTTATCGATAATGCTCCGTACCACAACAAATTAATGGATCCTGCCCCTACATCTAATGACAAGAAGGCAAAAATGGAATCGTGGTTATTAGAAAAGGGTATACCATATGAAAAGGACATGCGTAAACCACAACTTTACGATCTAATAAAAAAAAACAAAGACGTGAATAAAAAATACGTAATAGATGAAATGTTTAAACAAAACAACCACGATGTCCTTCGTTTACCCCCATATCATCCCGATTTAAACCCCATCGAGATGGTGTGGGCTGCCATTAAAGGGCACGTAGCCGCTAAAAACGTCGACTGGAACGTAACCCGGACAATGGAGCTCATACAAGAAAAAGTAAATTTAATGGGTCAGAATGAATGGAGTGCTTTATGCAGAAAAGTGCAAGAGGTCGAACATGACTATAGGAAGAGCGACCATATTATTGACGAAATGACGGATCAATTATTCATCATTAATACAGCTTCAGATTCAGAAAGTGAGTCTGAAAGTGAGAGCGACGATTACGAAGATGAACCTATGCCAAGTACCTCACATGGTACACAAGGGGCCGACGACTTTATGTTAGGAATTTCCCCCCTCAGCGACAGTGATTAAATAATAATAAGTGTAAATAAATAAAAAGTATTAAATGTAAATAATATTGTATGTGTTTGTGATAAAATCTGCCCCTATCGAAAGGTGAGGTATCAAAATTGAATCTTTAATTTATAATGTCTCCAAAGTGTTTTGATATTTTTGGTCACTGTATTAGGGAAATTTTATTTGTACATTGGTATATATAAAAAAATGACAATAACAGTTTTCTTCACGAGTGTTCATGCGCTAAACTTCGCAGAGCCTATATTCAGACTCGCCAAGATACGTCGGCCGTATTATACCTAGCTTTGTAGTTTGTGGTCTGTGAAGTAGCTTTAGTGACGGCATATACACGGGCTTACATTTATTTAATTTTACCTATACAATAATTATTTGTCGTTTCGTTACAGGTGTTTCTGAGCGATTTGTACACAAACTCGTAAATGAAGAGAAACACGCTGAAGAATCCAATTCTAAAATTTCTACCCCTGGCAAAAAAAGGCAAAGAAAAACCGGGAAGCAAGAAGTTGATAATTTTGACATTGGTGTTATAAGAAGAAAAATTCACGAATTTTATTCAGTGAAAAAAGAAATCCCTACCATACCCAAATTACTGAGTATTTTAAAGGAAGATATTGATTTCAAAGAACGTGAAACTCTTCGAAAATTGCTTCACAAAATAGGATTTCGTTATAAGAATACGAAATCAAATAGAAAAGTGTTGTGCGAACGTAACGACGTAGTTGCATGGAGAGCAACCTACCTACAAAAAATTAAAGAAAATGAGCGTGGTGAAAAAAGACCTGTTATTTATTTAGACGAAACTTACATTCACTCGTCTCACTCAACTGGGAAATGTTGGCAAGGTCCTGAAGAAGATGGTGATTTGGAACCTGTTTCGAAAGGTAATAGGTGGATCATAATCCATGCAGGTGGAGAAAAAGGTTTTGTGGAGAATGCCCTTCTCGTATTTAAATCAAATACAAAATATGGGGAATTTTTTTTTTTTATATGTTATTATTTTTAATACTTAGCACTTAAATGTTTTTTTTTTTATAGAATAAGTGTGACAAATGAGCACAGTCCATCTGATGCTAAGTGGATGCTGTGGCTCATAAACATCTACATTCATACACAATTAAGAATCAAAATGCAGATGCGTTGTCAGTTGTCACCCTTAAGGACTAAGATGGAATGCCTCGTTTCTAGTAAAAAGGGTATCCGGTTCTCTTCAGTCACCATTCGAAACACAGAGCATTAAGCTGCTGTTTTACGCTGGTATTCTGTTAGAGCGTGGACCATTCAACCCAGTCGAGCCGGCCCATTCTTTAGTATATATACAGTAATCTATGCGACCCATTCGTGCTACAACTATAATATAGCTGCAGCGTGGCTCTACCACGTAGAAATATTCTTTTTTTTTTCTTTTATTTAAGAACCAGTAAACAACTTCAACAGAGGATTAATAACTAATCTTAATCCTAAAATTTAAATTTAGTGAAGCCAACACCACCATCCTGAGATAATAATTAATATATTAAATTACAAAAATTAGAGATGTGAAGCAGGACTTAGTACATAAGCAATATTACAAAAAGACAGTAGATATTAAATAACTTAAACTCTAATTTAAGTAGACAAGAGATCAGCATTATCGAACTATTTAAAAACAAAAATTACAATCTAGCTATAAACAAAAAAAAAACTCAAAATTTTAGGTTTGATTTTAAAACAATTATATAATTGAATTGTATTATGATTGAGTTTTGATTTTTTCCCTTTCCTTTCTTTAGTTTGTAAGACTCATAAGCGTATTAATCACTTTGTTTCTAAAGTAATTTGCACGATTATTAAAAATGTCAATGTCACAAAAGTGATCATTATAATTTTGCATTAGACGATACAATAGCGCTCTTTTGCCAGCATTGGTTCTACATAAGGGAAGGGCAAATGTTTGACGTGAGCATGTTGATCTTACATGTGACCTAGTAGGTACACGAAATTGCAATCTTTTTGTTACAGGAATGCAATCATATCTAACATTACAAAGGTCAAATAACAACATTGCTGCTAATTGTTGTCGTCTGCCCTTTAAAGTTAATATTTTGTATTTATTTAAAATTATATTATAGGAACAATATTTATGCT